AGCCTAGGCCATAGATCTACCAGAAGAACCTAGGTCTACCCTGAGCCAAGAGGGCGCTGAAACTTTCCGAAATCACAAAAGAGTTCCCCTACCGGGTGTCTGTATACTTTGTGACTTTATTCCCGGTTACCGGGTCTGTATACACTCCCTAGATAAAAAATCTAATCGGACTCGAGTCCGAAAAGAGCTGGCCTTTGGATAAAGCATCGGTACCGAATATCTTTGAAGTCAGTATCGATATCCAGTAACTCTTAGGGCCAAAATTGGCCACGCTCTGATTCACAATTCAATTCATTTTTCATCACTAAGCCAAGAAATTGATCATTGATAATAAGTAAATGACCAAAGCAAAACAAAAGGCATATATATATGAACGCTTTATAATATCTATCTTCTCTGTCGGATCAACATGTAAGTGTAAACAAAAGATTAAAGGGGGGCTCTCGTGGCCTAAAGGTTAAGGTGTTGGCCTCTCATTCAAAGACGGAACATTTTTTTTCTCTAAAATTGTCTCCTTTCCTGCTCTCTAGCAATGTTCTTTCTGCTTTTGTCTTCTCTTTCTGCCCCCACCCCCTCACCTCCTTTGTCCCCTCCACTGGGCTCCTGATTCTTTCAGCAGCCTTTCTTCTACTGTTACTCCTTGGCTCTTTCTTACTCCTGTCTTTTAGCCACACCCGTGTTCTTCTGGTAGGAAAGATCTACACCTAGCCTTCTCGGGCAAGGGCCAAAAATCTTGGAGGGCCCGCGTGCAAGTTGTGCACGCTAAAGATCCCTTGGTGGTCTAAAATCGATAAGAGTAGGCTTCTGCCGCCACCAGGGCAAAAGTCACAATTTCCTAAAAACTGAAAAAGTTTAATGTGTCCCACGCGCTCATATAATATATATATAACCTTTATATGCAGTTGCGAGCCCTGTGAAACACTTATACCAACAAAAAAAAAAGACTAAAATAACACTTTCCACCCACGCAGCGTGCAGAGCACAAAACACTTATTCCCCATGGACAAGGATACACAGATGTGGTACACGCTATACCACACCGGCGCCGATCGGCGTCCCGTGGGGAAAAGGGACGGCTTAAATTCTTTTCGTCACTGATCGGGGGCAAAGTGTTAAAGAATCGCAGTGGCTACGTTCACCGCACTGTGAGCGTAGTTGGCAGGCTGCGTTCACGACGCCCTGAATGCAGTTAGCAGAGGTGAACGTTGCTGATCGATCCGATACTCTATGAGGAAATCTCAAAGTTATCTGTGAACGTAGTTGGCAGGCTGCGTTCACGACGCCCTGAATGCAGTTTGCAGAGGTGAACATTGCTGATCGATCCGATACTCTATGAGGAAATACCTCAAAGTTATTTATGTTCACAATTCTGAAACAGATATAAATAGATGAACGACATGTAAACTCACATAGACTAACAAGCATCACAATGACAATGTACAGTCATCTACTGTTGAGGGTACATTCACGGCACTCAAGCTTTGTTTAGGGGGATTGTCCACTCCCAGTTAAGTCAGCCGGTTTTAGTCAGTGACGATACTCGACAGTGACATATATTTAATATTAAATTTTGGCCAGCTTCAAGTGTTCCATCTAATGATAAAGGCAAAGGAAAACGAAGCACCCTTACAGAATTAAAGTCGGGATATAATGATAATGGGATGGAAAATTGTGAGGCACAGGCAGCGTGGTGAAATAAAGCGCTCGTCAAAATAATCAAAGTGAAGAAACTGGCATCTTTTTATTGATCTCACAGTCTCGCTGGAGTTTTCTAATCTGCCGAAATTGGCCCTTATATTATGCCTTATGGCACTGCCTTGGCCTTGGTCCGCCTTGGACTTGGGCGAGTGGAATTATCAAAAGAAAAACTCTCACAGAGGGAACAAACGTAATAACAGGGGTGGGCACACGTATCACTTGCATGTTTCCAATTCCTTCGTTATTTCGCTGTCAATAACAGGATTGGTTTCTCTTTCCGATACATGTATTGTTGAGAGGACTTTATTTTGAAACTGCTCCGCTTCCTCCATTTTCGAAGACCACGCTACTCTGAGTCTCTTGGCTACGAGTTGTTTACGAACGGAAAATTGTTGCAGTAGTCTCCCCTGCGCTTTCAATTTCATCATGAAATTGAAAGCGCAGGGGAGACTACTGCAACAATTTTCTCTGATATCATGATGGGCACTGCTTCTTTTTAGAAAGGTGAAATGGGGTCAAGCTTAAAATAGCTGTTGGCTTTTTGACATTCCTTGGGAAACCCCGTCGCTTACTGGGCAGTTTCTGGTGACGTCAGAGTAGAAGTATAGTACCGTGTGCAAAACCATTGAATTCCCTACTTTTTCTTGTTTTTATGAGTGTGTCATACTTCTGAAAGTTGCTGTGTGCGCTAGGTGTGTACGTGTGTGAACAAGAGGTGTGGTAAGCCACCAGTCCAGATCATCAGTACTGTTTACCCCAGTGGAACCATGAGTAACGTGGAGTATAAACCAGCGGAAAAGCTGCAACTTCGGCTTGCCCGACCAGATTCTAGTGTGTCATGGGGGTTCCGACTTCAAGGGGGTATCGACTTCAGTACCCCTCTTTCCATCCAGTCGGTAAGTGAACTAGCAGACAAGATTTTAGCTTTATAAGTCGTATTTACTCTTGCTTTCCCTTGAATCTGATCTGACTCACCTGTGCGTACTGGGTGGAGGCTCTTTTTTCTAACGGACAGTTTGGGTTTATCTTCTTCGGGTAGCTACCTATTCAGTGGGCTATGGCATGTTAAAAGTTTTAAGACTTCATAAAGTAAACAATTTAATAGCGCGTTGGTCTTACTTTTGTTTGAGGGGACGACCCTGTGAAATTGTGAAATTATACTTTTTTAAGTTAAAGGGGGGAAAGGGGGGG